AAATGCTCTCTGGTATTGTTCTGGGGCCGGACCAAATGGGGAGGCGGGCTGCATCCAGCCCGCGGGCCGTAGTTTGGGGACCACTGGTTTAGTAGTTTGAGAAAATTGCAAATTATAAAGATTTGGGAACAACAAATAATTACATATTTTTAATTTCTATAAAATTGGCAACCTAACGTTTTTTTTTTTATAAATGAGGATTTTATGCATTGCATCAGTATATTTTGTTGTGAAAAGACAACAGCTTCAAAGTACACCATTGACACAAGTTGTCATGTTTGAGAAAACAAAACTGCCTTACAGTAAAAGGTTATTATTATTCTTATCTTATAAACAATTCACTCTTACGCTAAGCACAATAAACTATAGATGGCAATAAAAAGTCTGAAGTCGAGGGAAACCTTATCTGTGTAAACAAACCAGTTCAAACAGTCTTCGCAACTGTATGCTCTAAAATATTCAGCCCCATCATTTTCACTGAAATACTGTGAATTCTGGTAAAACTATTATCAAACATAAGCTGTTGATTCAGGACTGACCCTGAATAACCAAGGCCTCCCCACAAACATTCAACCACAACTGCAGTAGGGCTGTGTATTGGCAAGAATTTGGCGATACGATACATATCATGACAGTCATGACAGAGGGGTCACGATACGATATATCCCGATATATTTCAATACTGTAAACAAGGCGATATTTTGCGATTTTTTTTGGTCCAAAAATTCTATTAAATAAAAACCTCTTACTGGGAAAAAACAAAACAAAAAACAAAACGAAAAACCAAAATTCACTGTCTCAGAAAATTCTAATATTACATAGACATACTTTTGATACATTTAGCTGTGTTCTGCTTTGTATGTGTTTTATTTTATTTGTTTCATATTTCATCCATGTTCTCAATTATTAGACTAAATTTTCCAATAAATAGTTTGAAAATATATTTTTTGCAGCTTTTAGTTTTTAATATTAATTTACAATATGGTCACCAAACACTTAACAATAGCGTTCATGTTGTCATAAAGTTCAGTAAACAGATGATATGAAGCTGCTGCACACAGAGTTTCTGGGATCAGCTGACCTGCATCCAGTGTGGGTCGAACAGCAGTGCAAGTCCTGAAGAAAACCAGTTAAGAAATTGAGAAGCTAAACGAGTTAAACCATTTTTGAAGCGAACACAGCAGGATAAACTTAAAGTAAATTGACTTTGATGCGATGAGCTGGATATTGAGAGCAACAGACAGAGTTTTATGTCATGGGGGGAGTGCCGAGCTCGCTCGAGATG